CAGAATGCTGATGTGTTGTTCTCAGCAGCTTGGGGAAGGAGCATATAATGTCCATTTGCCCCATAACATTTTATTCCTGGGTGTTGAGGCTATTCTCCGGGTTTCCGTGTCTCTGTGAAGTATGGATGATAGTGATGAGCAGACTGAGAGAATGACACATGCTGGCTCTTTATCTCCTTTACATGCCCGATCATTTCCTGAACACTTTCCTTTCTTTCCAGTAATAAAATGTAGCAGGCTTATCGTGTGTCCAGGCTCCCCATTTCCTCCATGGGGAGTGATCACAGACACCAAGCTCTGTTGTGAGGGAGTTCACTCAGCTGAGAGAGCTAAGAAACATGTGTCTGCATGAATATCCATGCCTCCACACGTAGGTTATATTCATATATACCGTGCCCTAACGCCTGTGTGTTCATGTCAAGACCTCTGTTCTAACCTAATGTCACAGGGGTTCCCAAGCTGATAACTACCATCTATAACACAATTGCAAGAAGTGTGGCTCCTAGCGTCCTTGACACATTTACTCGCTTCCTGCATTTGTCCGTATGTAGCCCGTCTTCCAGTTTCCTCCCAACCCCACTGCTCACCCAGAGGCAAGACACCCTTTAGCCCAGGAGAAGTGAAAAGGGTGCGTGTTAGTGGGAGCAGCCCTGAATGCCCACGTGCTGAGTCTGGTGGGGCTCTGGGGAGTCTCCCAGTGCTGCTGCTACAGTCCTTTCCAATCTGACCGTCACTTCTGAATGCTGATTGCAGATCCATCGGCACGTCACACTAAGCCCAGTCTGCAATGGGGTTCTTGTTTCTCCTCCCTTGTTATTCTTTCCCGGTACTGATGCCACCTTGTAATACTCTTTCCTGCTCGTTCGTTTTCAGCCTAATCACCAGAACTCCCATCAGTGTATCACGCGAAACCTGCAGATACTTACACTGTTCTTGGGTCCAAAGCTCAAGCCGTGCAGAATAGAGAGAAAGAAACCACATGTCCATAACATCTCTCTCAGCTGGTGAGAGAGTCAGAAACAGCAGTATGGCTTGCATCCACATAGTGCTCCCTAGGCCTGAGGTGGGAGAGTGGAACATCTGCAGTCAAGTCGGTGCCAATACATCTGTGGCCTTGGGCAAAGCCACTTCAAGTTACCAACCTTGTTTTCTTCACCTTTAAAACAGCAATAATAACATCTGCTTAAAGCTGTTGGGAGGAGTAAATGAGATTGTATTTCTAACACATCTTATAAGCTAATAGGAGAAAAGGACCAAAAAGGAAAGAGGAACAAAAGTGTTGTGTGACGTTAAGAATATGAGGAGCTGGAGAGATGGCTCAGCAGTCAAGAGCACTGGCTGCCCCCAAAGAATCTGGGTTTAATACCCAGCACCCACAACCATCTGTAACTCCAATCCCAGGGGCTCCAACACCCTCTTCTGGTCTTCTCGGGTACTGCATGCGCATGTTGCGCAGGCACCCATTCACATAAAGTAAATAAAACCTCAAAAAAGATAAAGGTCTGAAGGGATCACAGTGTGACTCGGAGCGGTCTTACTACCACACTCGAGATCAGACTTTTTTACTTTCATCTCACCCTCAGCCGAGTTCTTCCTCTCCTTCACATCATCTCCCTTACTTGGAGTCTGTTCTCACTGTTCTTTGTTTTGGGCTTCTGAGATAGGAACTCCTGTAGCCCAGGCTGGCCTCACCTCATTGAGTAGCTGAGGATGACCTCTTAATCCTCTGGTTCTACCTCTTCTGGCTTCATGCTTTCTTTCTGATCTGCTGCAGGCTTTCTCCACAGCCTGTCACTGTCTTAAATGCTACTGTTGTAAGCATGCAGGGATCCTCAACAGCCCACAACCCCTTGCCCAGGACTTGACCATTTGTAAACTGTTACTTGATCACACTTGCTCTCAGGTAGAAAAGACTCCCTCGTGGTCCCAGGATACAGATCATTGTGCCACACGTTGATTTCTCCATTAATACGTGAAGATCTGCCGAGATGTCTGGAATCAGTGATAACCTGTAAGCTACATTTATCTGTATCTTACACTTAGAGCCCTCGAGCCTTGCACACTGTCAGTGTTCAGTATTTAGTTGGAGTGACCCATAAGCAATGAACCTCATGGGTCCACCGGGCATCTTCTACTCTTCGTCTGCAAAGCTCATCATCTCATGTCCTGTGTGACATGGATGCAGAGGGGAAGAGGGCGCGGGGAAGCTTCCTCACCAGGTTTCTTTCTCGTATGCAATGGACTTGGTGGACACTGCAGAAAATGTAGATCTCTAAAGGGTTTTTATGAGCAATTTCTCAATGCTCTATGATCATAATTAATTATAATCTTACTCATTGGGTTGGTTCTGAAATAGGAAGTTGGTTAGGATAGTTGTGGTGATGGAAGAGACAAGTGATTACAGTAACCTAACAGCAGAGCCCGCCTCTGCCTTGGTTGGCACGTCTGTGTGGAGATTAGACTCCTCAGATGACTAGTTCATTCTTTGCCTTATGTCGCACCCCCTCATCCACTGCCTCCTGCAGCCCCTTCCATCTCTGTGAGAACACAACGTGGAAGGTAACCATCTGAGCATGCATTGCTCACCGACATGAAGGTTAGCCTGACACAGCAACCCTTGCAATGCCCTGAGGGAACGGGAACAAACACCCCCACTCCAAGGGAGACCCAATAGTGCACACGGAGGAGGAGACCTTCGCTCTAACACCAGGTGCTGGCTGGAGCGCTGGCCCCAGGGCTGTGAAGTTACAGCATAGACCAGGGAACAGGCACCATGGGGACACATCATGCACTATGCACCAGGGTAGGGAAAGCTTGACTCGCCACACGGTGTGGTGAAATGTTTAATGGTTTACTTTGCCAGTGAAATGAGCCAATTCAAGCCAAACTAGAGTATATAAATGCAGGTTTATTGGGGCTAGCTTTGGGCAGATTCACAGGAATGAGGCCAGAGAAGTGACCATGCAGAGGGGCACAGAAAAGTGGAGAGCAGAGAGAAAAAGCACATGTGCAGAAAGAGAGGAGAGAGAGATACAGATAGAGACAGACAGACAGACCAAAATGTCTGGATTTTATGGCAAGGAGCTTCTGGGGGAGGGGAAGCCCAGCCTCTGGGCTGGAAAGTTCAGGGCAGAGGATGGGGTATGTAGGGACTGAGGGATGCTGGGAGAACCTGAGGGCCAGGTCCACTTTGGTTAAATGGGCCCCTCAGTTACTTATCCTGTGTCTGAATCCCAGCAATGTTAACTCAAGGGCCCAAACCAGGTGTTGTGATGCAGACACATCATTCCAGCACTGAGGAGACAGAGGCAGGATAATCACAAGTTGGGCTGCATATTAAAACCCTATCTGGAAATAAAAAGTAAGAGCCTGGTGTATAGCACATACTATATCCCAGCACTCTAGAGGTTAATACAAGAGGAGAGTCGTAAGTTGAAAGCCAGCCTGGGCTATAGAGGCAACCCTGTCTCAAAACACGTGAACAAACCAAAAACAAAGCATGTGGCAGTGAGTGGCAGGTGATGGCAGTTCCAGTTGAGGGAGCAGGTGTTGGTTGGAGTTGTGCAATGAGGCCTGGGCCTAGGGAGCTGGAGGGAAGGTGCTTTGGCCGGGAGGTGACAGGTGAAGGCCCAGCAATGGGGCCATAGAGGTGACTGGCCTAGATGCCTGCCATGCTGAAATGTTGTGAGGGCTCCATGAGAAAGTAGGGCGAGAAGAGTTTGTGCAGAATGGGGGGGCCAAGGCACTTTCAAAGGTCAACTGAAGAGGCCCTCTCTCCGCAGGCAGACCTGGCCTGGATGAAGCAGCCACATCTGGATGCCATAAACTGAGTAACAAAAGCAGTGGAGGAGTAAAATGTCAATTGTTTCCTACTCCTGCTAATCAATGCTGTGTGTGGTTTTTGCCTTTTTCTTCTTATTGTATAAATATATTTTTAAGACACGGCTGGATTCTTGTAGCTTTAGCCAGCAAGCTAAAAACATACCACATGTCACGAGGGGCCTCCCATTGTCCACAGCTGTGCAGAGGACAGTGGCTACGGCCCTAGAGATCCAGCTCCTGATGACTCGGGTGGCTGGGGCAGCGTGAGGGACGTTTGACTGGGAGAGTGGAGACAAGAGCAGCCATCGTCATCTCCGCGTCCTGGCAAGCCTGGAGCTTTCTCCAGCCACTTTTAGCCCAAGATTTCTCTTTTTTCTTTTCTTTTCTTTTCTTTTCTTTTCTTTTCTTTTCTTTTCTTTTCTTTTCTTTTCTTCTCTTCTCTTCTCTTCTCTTCTCTTCTCTACTTTTTTCTTTTCTTTCTTTCACCATTGATTCTAGAAGTTCTAAGGAAAAACTATTCATCTTAAAGAAGGAAGGCATTTTGTCTTTAAAACATCACAGTTCAGGCATCCATCCTCTGGCACGAGAGGTTCGCGATGTCTACATCTTTGTTGTCCTCAGAGCTTTTCTGTAAGGTAGTGAAAAGCGTGAGGCTGGGGTCCCCTGCTTGTCTTGGGCAAGGTGCTTAGCTTTTCTGTACCTGCCATTTGGAGAAGGGAGCTAGTAAGACAGGCACCTCTGAGGGCTATTGCCAAAGAGTTAAAAGTTCCATGACATGATTATAGAGTACAGCATGACTCCTGGGCCATCGTAGGTGTTTAGGACATGGTCACCATCGTTAGTGTTCAGGACTTTGGCTGGTTCTCAGCATTCTGGGGTGCATGCTTCTGTGGCAGGTTCTCCAGTCAGCTCTGCTACGTGACGTATGACAGTTTCAGGGGTCGGTCTTCTCGCCTTCTAGATGAGCAGCAGTGCCCTGCCCTTTTATGGGTCAGACATGGTGATGAGACGCCCTGGAACAAAGTGCTGTACAAACGTCAGACTTCATTGCTGCCATTTTGAGCAGGGAGGTGGAAGGTGACATGGGTAAAATGTACCTGCTTGTAGGTTTAGGTGGCACCAGTGGAAACAGCACCCCTGCCTGGTCTCCGAGTGAAACAGCATTTCTGCCCTTCTAGAAACCTCAGCGAGCTGATAGACCGGTTTGTGGCTGACTTCAAAGCGCAGGGCCCACCCAAGCCCAACACTGAGGAGGGGGGGGCCGTGCTCCCCAGCTGCGCGGACCTCTTCGTCTACTACAAAAGGTGCATGGTGCAGTGCTCGCAGCTCAGCACGGGCGAGCCCATGATCGCCCTGACCACTATCTTCCAGAAGTACCTCCGAGAATACGCCTGGAAAATCCTCTCTGGCAACCTGCCTAAGTGAGTCCTGTTTCCTTACTCTCAGCAAGGAAGTGAGGCTCTCAACAGCCCTAAATATGGGAGGCTCGAAGGAAAGCCACAGGGGTGGGGGGTTGGGAGGATGTTTACTGAGCTGCTAAGAATGTTGGGAAGGAAAGCACTCCTCCTGGGCTCCCAAGGGCCTGAGGTGCTGCTGTCTCCTTTAATGACATTCCAGAGCTGACCATGACTGTCAGCAGGTCATGTTCCCCGGCCACCAGTGTAGGTCACAATGCATCACTGAGTTGGGCCCATTATGTATTTCAATACAGAAAAAAAAAAGTTATTCAGCTGCAGGGGCAGTGTCCCTCCAGCCCCGTTCAGTGTGTTCGTGCCTTGAGTACCAGATGACAAGCTTTTCCTCTGACTATCTTCCACGGCCTCTAATACTGTGTGCACAGCCTTAAGTTTAAAGATATGGTGGATTGGGGCAGGGGAGAAGGCTGAATGGGTACAGTGCCTCCCACACAAGCAGGCGGCCCTGAGTTCAGATCCTCCACTCACACATAAACAGCTGGGGTTAGCAACACTTTCCTGTAATCACAACAGTAGGAGGCAGAGACAAGAGGGTTCCAGGGCCACAGGGGTGCCAGTCAGACCAACTCTAGCAAGCGCCAGGTTTAATGAGAGACCTTGTCTCAAAAACAAGATGGAGAATAAGAGAGGAAACCCAGTGTCAACCTCTGGCCTCTGCCTGTGTGTGCATGGGCACACATGTGCACTGTTAGACCATCTTACTCCGCTTGTTCACTTATGAGCTCTACATGTAGAAGTCATAATTGAGAAAGATGGTTGGGGGAGCAGGTTTTGTGCCGCAGCTGACCCCGTACCTCGGGAAATCTCAAGCCAAGGCACTAGGCCAGATGGCCTCCTTGGTGAGAATGGGTCACCCCAGGTGAGGACTGCTCACTGCTCTCTGGGTTTCTCTTCCTGTTCCTGTGGTGAGAGGGTCTGAACAGATGACAGTCAAGGTAAGGTCAGGAGCAAAGGAACCCATTGTGTGCTGATGTATTTGTTCTGTAGCCAGCCTTTCCTCCCCTTTCTTCTTTGTGATAAAATACGCAGCTCCAGGAAGCCAGCTAGCAGCTGCAGCCTAACTAGTTCCTGTCCTTCCCTTCAGAACCAGCAGCAGCAGCGGGGGCCTGACTATCAGCAGCCTCCTCAAAGAGAAGGAGGGCTCGGAAGTGGCCAGGTTCACTCTGGAGGAGCTGTGCCTCATCTGCAGCATCCTGAGCACAGCGGAGTACTGCCTGGCCACCACCCAGCAGGTGAGCACCCAGCCAAGCACGCCTCCCTTCTGGAGGCCCGGCCACAGCTGGAGTGGGGCCTGGGAGCTCCGCTGAGGTCTCCAGCCACCATGGGCAGGCTAACTGGCCTCTCAGAAAGAAATTCAGCATGTACTCAGAGTCTGCCCAGGCAGACTTACAAGGGAAGTATGGCCAACCTCCACCCTCATGTAAGCCACCAAACAGGCAAGATCTCTTAAAAGTAGGTCAGTAGCACAATGTCCCTTATGAGAAAAGCAGCAATAAACTCCCTCCGAGGTACCAGGGCCAGCCTTTGGTGGGTGAGTCACCCAATGACTCCATTCTTAGCTGTGTTAACAAGCGAAGTCTCAGGATTTTATGTGTCTCCTGACATTTTCTAGCATTCTCTGTCGACCATAACAATCATTGTCTGAGATGTTGACTGTGAAGCAGAAAGGGTGGAGCCTCTGCTGCAGCCCCTAGAAGGCAATTCAGCAAACCAGCACTGCAGAAGGGCAAGCCGCAGTAGCCTGCCACCCAGCCTCCGCAGGTGGAGAGGCTCTTCTTCCCTGCTTGGCCTGGGGCCCTGCTAAAGCTGAGAGCCAAAAATAACCTGCTCCTTCTGATGTTGATGCTTACTTCCTAAGCATCGAAGAAGCCAGTCACAAGGGGCAGTTCAGACGTGACAGCTTGGTGCTCTTCTGTGCCAGGGCATGAACACAAGAAGTGTCCAGCAGACTCCTTGACAGCTAACCAGCTGGGCGCAGAGGTTGAGGCAGTAGCATGCTGTGCTTGGGGCATGGTCACATATTCAAGGAATGACTCGCACACTACCTTGGCCTTAGAGCTAGAGATAGAAAGAAAGATAGACAGACAGACGTTTAAAGTGTCTGACGAAAACACATAAGGAAGTGTAGCTTTGACTCAGACAGGGTCTCAGTGGGTCGACAGGCTGGCCTCAAAAACTCCCGGGGATCTGCCTGTGTCTGCCTCCTGAGTGCTGGGATTAAAGGCTGCACCACCACTGTCACCACCTGGCTCTTAACACAGTCTTACTGGCAGCTCAGTCTCCACGTGGATCACTGAGTGAGGCGCGCAGGGAGGGGCTGCCTCTATCATGAACTCAGTGGACTGCTCTCTGATCACTTGCTCCTGATGATGCAGCTTGCCAGGCCACAAAAGAGCCTCCAGGCAGTCCTGATGAGACTTAACAAGCTATAGCAGTAGTAGAGAACTCCCCCTCTCAGTGGGCCAGGGGAAGGGGATGGGGGGACTTGAGGCAGGGGACTTCAATCAGCATATGTAATGAATAAATTGTGAAGAAAAAAAATTTAAAAGAAGTAAAGTGTCCCACAAACTTACTGTTCATTTCTGAGCCCAGGCCACAGTCCCAGCTTTCTTCTTTTGTATTTTTTTCAAGATAATAAAATCTCTTCATGGACACACACGTGTGCTTGCATGCATGTGTGCGTGCACACACACACACACACACACACACACTCAGCCTACTCTTAATGCCATCACCCTCAAATATTTTATTTTATAAACATAGTTTCATCCAAAGTTATCTTAGCTCATTTTTATATCCTTTTGTTGTTAGTGTTGATGTTACTAAAATCTTCTTCTTCTTCTTCTTCTTCTTCTTCTTCTTATTATTATTATTATTATTATTACTACTGTTTATGGTTATGTAGTATTTCATTGTAAGGATTAGTGGCTATTTAATAACAGCCCTGGTAATTATTTATACTGCTTTAAAGTTTTGCTTCTACAAATAATCTTACAAAAACCTCTTTAAAAACATTTTTTTTTGAGACAGGGTTTCTCTGTGTAGCCCTGGCTGTCCTGAAACTCACTCTGTAGATCAGACTGGCCTCAAACTCACAGAGGTTCTCCTGCCTGTGCCTCCCGAGTGCTGGGATTAAAGGCCTGCACCACCACCACCCAGACAAAAACATCTTTCTGAGTATACTATCTTAAGTTTTCTATTGTATTTCTAGAACACATTGTTGGAGAGTTTAGAAGTATTGGTAAACCAGAGACCATTTTGATGACCTATGTACCCTTTTTTTTAATTTAACGAAAATCATCTAAGTGAGTACATTCTGAGCCACCTGTAAGATATCTGAGTGCCACGTTCCTTTAGAAGAAACAGATCCCTGGGGAAATGATTGATTCCGGGCTGCGGGCCTAGGGTGTCTAGGCGTGCCGTGTAGTTGGTCTGGGCCTTGCTTAGCATTCATGAAGCCCTGGGTTTTATCCCGAGCTCCGTATAGACTGGGTACGGTGGTGCACCCCTGTACAGAAATCCTGGGCTTTGAGAGGTGGAAGAGGAGGCTCGGAGGTTCAGGCTCTTCCTCAGCTATATAGAGAGCTTGAGCCCAGCCTGGACTAGACACCCTATCTCACAAAAATGGGCTGGAGAGATGGCTCAGCAGTTAAGAGCACTGACTGCTCTTCCAGAGGACCCGGGTTTGATTCTCAGCACCCACATAGCAGCTTACAACTATCTGTAACTCCATTTCTAGGGGATTGGTTGCCTTCTCTGGCCTATGGGCACCAGACAGTCTTGAGGTGCACATGTATACATGCAAGCAAAACAATCATACACATAAAATAATAAAAGTTTTAAAAAGTGAACTTGAGACATCACATCTTGTAAAAAGTGATAAAATCCAATACAGAATCATTGCAGAAGGACTCAGGAGTTAGAGTGGATTGAATTGGGCCCCTCAAAACTAAGTCCTGATCTGTAGTGTACCTTGGGATGTTTGGGAATCGTGGCGTTTGCACATGTGACCGAGTGTTTCAGGAGTAGCTCATCCTGGTCTTGGGCTACCCTGACACAAGGGCTAGCCTCCTTAGGAAGTGAAAAGATGGAAATAGACCCAGACTCAGTGAAGAGGGTCATGTAAGCGTAGAGAAAAGAGGAAAGGCATGCCCTGCAAGCCATGTACACCAAAGAATCTAAAAAAAAAAAAAAATTAATTAAATTAAAAATTAAAAGGTCTCAAATTTTTAAAAATCAACAACAACAAAATAAAACCAGGGCCAATGAAGTGGCTCAGGAAATAAAGGTGACTGCTGTCAAGACTGACAACCATGAGTTCAATTTGTGGAACCCAAATAGTGGAAGGAGAGTATCCACTCTTGCACATTTTCTTCTGACCTGCACACGCATAGAGTGTGCTTAGAAATACAGACTGGCACACATAAAGAACTTGACTGTGTGCCTATGTTGGGAGACTGTGGTTAAAATGTCCGTTCTCTATAAAATGCTGCATGATTTGACACAGTTCCCTGTCAGCATCCCAGCAGATTATTTTGGGGAAATAGGCAAGGAAATTTTACAAAAAGACCAAACAACCTTGAAAAATAAGGGAGAGGTTGGGTGATGTGTCACTTGATTTTCAGGCTTCCTAGCACTGAGGGCCTTCCGCAGTAGAGAGCTCGCCGGGCACGTGTGCTGCCTGGCTGCAGACACCGCACACCTCCCACAGAGCTCCAGGAAGGGAGGCAGCACTGCTGTGTGTATAGACCACTCCTCCCTGCAAGCAGCCACTGCTACCATCTCACTAACGCGCCCTCTCAAACATTTTCATTTATCTTAAGTGAAACAAACTCAAATTCTGCATGTTATTCTACAACAGAGCAGCCTTGTGTTGTTTATAGTTAAATCATAGACAGCTTTCCTCTTCCTTGTTCTTTCTCTTCCCACCCCCCACCCCCTCTGAGACAAATTCTTCTTGTTGGCCCAGGCCAGCCTCGAGCTTATAGCAGTCCTAATTGTCTCTGCCTCTTGAGTGCTGGGATTCCAGGCACCAGCACACCTGACTGTATGGGCATCTTCTGAAAGGAGTGCTACCTCAGCTTTGTCATGACTGTCACGGGCATCTTCTGTACAAGTACTACCTCAGCTTTGTCAGCCCCCTTTGAGTACTTCACTCATCTGTCATTCATCTAGAAAGCTTTCCCCAAAGCAGGTGCTGCCTCTGTGGCGACGCGCAGAGGCCAGGCATCTTTCTGTCAGGAGACTCAGAGCAGATGGAAAACAGATAACAAGCAAGTCAGGGTTTCACTGTCATTCTGTGGTAAGTGTGGACGAAGAAGCAAATGCCATGAGAGAAGTTGGAGGGCTAGGAAATGGGGGCTGGTCAGGATGGTGAGCAGGGGCATCTTAGAGGGAAGAAGTGGGAAGTGTGAAAGTCCCGAGGGACAAAGACTGATTGTGAACGCCAGAGACGAGGTAGAGGTAGCAAGATGGGGCCAGAGAGGTAGACAGGGCCCTGCCATGCTTAGAGTTAGGGTTTTTCTTCAGTGAAGTGGCAGAGGCCACTGGAGCATGTGAGCACAAGCCTGTGCCACACCGTCCTGTCCTCCGTCATTGGTGTCCATGTCGACTGCATCCAGGATTTCAGTAATAGGAACCCCTTCTGGAAAGAACCCTGCACATGCAGAGCCTGACCCGTTGAGTTCTCTGAATGGCACCTCACCCCTTCCAAGTGGGAGAACTAAATGTTGCCAGGGATCCTCACACGGCTCTGTACATTAATCTCTATCTCATGAGAACGCATTTCTAAATGTGAAATTGCCAGATTACATTGGTAAGCTGCCTCCTAAAAAAATCACCCTCATTTGCTCACCATTAAGAACATTTTTGTCTTTTAAGTTTTTAATATGTGTGTGTGCCTATGTGATGTATGTACACCACATTTATTCAGTGCCACAGGGGCTAAACGAGGGCGATGGATCCCGTGGAACTGGAGTCCAGGTGGTGGCGAGCCACCATGTGGGTGCTGGGGACCCAGTCATTTCTCAGGCACCCTAAAAGCACTTTACATTTTAATGCAGAACATTCCTCTTCCTAGAATCAGTGTGATTGCTTTGGGAAGACTAGAGTTATCAGTCCCCGGGGCAGTCCCAGATCCTGATCATTGCATTTTTCTCCGAGGCTTAGGAGGGTGTGAGTGCTCCCACTTGGCCTAAGCCCTCAGCTGAGCAGAGTGAAGATGTATTTCTGATTCATCACGGGGACATCTGGCACCTTGGCAAGGTGGTGGCCATACAAATACTTAGCAAAGGTTTGGGCTGGCTTTACTGTCACTCTCACTGAGGGGTCTCAACGCTGCGGGGTGAAGCTACATCAGGGACAAGCAGGGAGACCTACTTGATACTTTCCACAGAGAGCCTTAAGAGAAGAGGTTATTGAAGTCCGTCACGTGGGGAAAGAGCAGCAGCACTCCTGGCTATGTGGGCATGAGCAGAGACTCCTCGTGGCTACTGGCCAGGAAGCTCTCTTGTAACCTTCAAAAGCCTCCCCCAGCCTTTGACATCCAGGCTCCACAGCCTTCAAAATAGCACCACCACTAGGGACCAAACACTCAAAGCATGAGCCTGTGGAGGACAAGCCGTGCGAGCTATCTTTATGTCCTTAGAAACAAACCCAGGGTGGTGCCGAAGGAGCTGGGTTCTAGGAAGCTTATTTTGGCCTGTCACCTGCTGTCTTGGCTGGGCTACTGCAGCCCTCATCTATGAAGTGAAGGTAACGGGACTTCCCTCGCGTCCTGGCGGGAGCTAAACATGTCCCAGGTCATGTCTGGGACTGTCTGGCTCCTCAATTGTGATACTCAGTAGTGTGAAACAGCCTTGGGGAATCGCTAAACTTCTGCTTCTACCCTCTCCTAACAGCTAGAAGAAAAACTCAAAGAAAAGGTTGACGTGAGTCTGACTGAACGCATTAATCTCACAGGAGAAATGGACACATTCAGCACGTAAGTCCCTTCCCGGTGCCTGCTCCAGGTCAGCCTCTCCTCTTCACAAGCAGTTTGTGCTGGCTGCAGTTTCCTCTGCGTGGAAGAGTTCCCAGGGCATTCTCCACCAGCTGTGAGAAACAGCGCTCCATTCTCCCTCTTCCTCCTCCCCTTCTTCCTCCTCTTTCTGGCTTGAACAAGTTTTTAATATAGATGCTTCTGGAGGAGAACTTGATTCTGGGGTTAGCAGTTGTAATGGAAGCCATGGAAGTTTGGGTCCTAACTGGGTGAGGCACACCCAGATAAGAACAGGACATAAAGAACTAGCTGCTTCTCCATTATCAGGGATAAAACCAATTTCATGAAGAAATGAAAATTTTAAATTTTACACACATGCCAAAAACGCCCACAGGGAGCCATGTCCCTCGTCCATCGCCTTTTGGGGTAGTGACCACAGCAACTTGTTTCTTTGCAGTGTCATCTCCAGCAGCATCCAGCTGTTGGTTCAGGATCTGGATGCAGCCTGTGATCCTGCCCTGATCGCCATGAGCAAGGTGAGCTGTTAGGACCTGGCCTCTGATCAGTGACTGGTACACCTTTCCTCAGCCCTTCCTGTTGTGTTCTGACTCTGCTTGGTGTCAGCCGAGAGGGCACTGGGCAGGCCTCCCAGAGTTCCTGCACCTGGGCTGTTGTTAGCCCTTTTGGGGGGTGGAGGTAAGTCTGAAGGAAATGAGCTCTTCTGTCAGCATCTGGCTCCTGCTACAACCTGTCTGTGCCCTTGCCAGCTGAGCAGTTTGGTGAGCTCTTCGGCAGGCTCCCAACTCATTGCTCAGTATGCCCACTGGGAGGCTCCAGCCCTTCCTGAGCTTTGGTGTCGGTGCTAGAACATTTGATCGGACAGTGGACTCTGGTTTCAGTGTACCCTCAGCCCCCTATGGTCCTTTGACACTTAGCATTGGCTGCTATTTGGAGTTTTATATACCTGTCTTTTCTTCCCCAAAGAATGTAAATTCCTGAGAAGTGTGGTAAGTCGTGCCTATAATTTCAGGATTTAGAAGGCTGAGGCAAGGGTTCGAGTTCAAGGCTAGCCTGCTCTGTACAGGAAGACCCTGTCTCAAAAAAGAACAAAGTATTCCTTAAGTGTCTAGACCCTATTGAAGACTTCATATTTAGGAAGAGGAAAGTAGGCAATCCTTTGCTGACTTTTAAGCCCAACAAACCTCGTAGAGCAGGGGTTGAGAAAGCATAGCGTGCAGCCAAATGCAGCCCGGTTCTTGTTCCTGTTTGTCTCAGTGGAACATAGCCATGTCCATCCACTTAAGCTCAATCTATGGCTGTTGCTGTAGCTATAGAAATTGGTGGTTATAACAGAGGCCTTATAGCCCACAAAGCAAGAATATCGACAAGTCAACCCTGGCCAGAAAAAGCTTGCCAACACCTATAGTCATGGACTCTTGGAATACTCTTCCAAGTTTTGGAAAATGACTTGTCTGGAGGAAACGAGGCAGAATTTATGTCAGCGGGCCGTGGGAGGAGCCCTGACACTGGACCAGACAGGCCTAAGTTTTCTGGTTTTTCTTTGAGAGCCCTACCCTGAAGACCAAACCTGTGCAGGCCTGGCTCTCTGTGAAATGCATCTGGCTGGCTGCCTCCCAGAGCTGTGAGAGTGGACAGCAGTTGAGTGCCCGGTGGTGCCAGTCAAGCTCAGAAAGCCTAGGTTCCTGAGACCTAGGGGACGAGAGGAATGCCATGCCTCAGGAAGTAGACATTTAGTCTGAGTTTGGTTTTAGAGTGGATTATAACTATTTAACAAAAATAGGATTAAAACCAAAACTTTGGCTTTGGGGTTGTAAGGACTGAAGTAGGATGCGGAGAAGTGGCTGATGTTCCAAAGCTCCGATTCTCAAGGCCAGTCCTGTGCCCAGCCAGGATCTCCAGCCACATACTGTAAGCAGGCAGCTTGAGGCTGGTCTGTTCTCTTAGTGGAGTGAGGCTGTTCGGATTCGTTTCCTAGGCTCTGGTTATTCTCTCACTGCTGGCAAACCCTCTTTGCATCCTGAGCATGATCCATTCCAGCTGCCATCTCCTGAACTGCCACACGCCGCAGCCTAGAATGCAGCTGCCAAAAGAATTTCACACTGACCAAGGGAAGAGTAGAATCTTTTTCCCCCCTCTTTCTTTCTCTGTAAAATAACACGTGGAATGGGTTTGGCACTCCAGGTGTTGCTTATATGAACTGTCAGTTCATTAGGCAGACTTCCCTTGAGTTCCCCTTCCTCATCAGCCCTTCCTCTCCAGATGCACCCCAGCAAACATCAGCCATACCCCCAGAGTCTTGTGTTTATATGATAGGAACACCATCAGTTTGGGAGCACAGCAGCTGGAAGGCCATTCCCTTTTGTCTGAGTCTTCTGGAGTTCCAGCAAAATGAGATCCATGTGACTAAAGTAAACACGGCAGTGCTCACAGACTGACTCAGCACGAGCCCTGCATCCTGTTTCATGGAGTTTCTTCTAGGATTTTTTTTCAAACTTTGTGATGGTGATTATGTCTGTCTCTGAGTTCGTCTTTGTTTGCTGCTGGCAGACTAGTCCAGCTTGGACTCTGCCTCGATCAGTTCTGGGGGTTGCAAGGCTGGCGAAGGCATAGGCATTGTCCCCAGGTGCTTCATCCTGGCGGAGGAGGAGATGTGAGCAGAATGTGCAGATTTGTGGTTTGATCGAGAGGAAAGTGAGACCAGAGCAGAAAAACGGGATCCTACAGTCAGCATTGGAGAAACCAATGGCCAGGAGGATGTGGTCCAATTCTCTTGAAGGAATTTGTGATGAGGAGGCTGTTCAAACAAGACTGCAGTGGAAGCTGATGTTTTTAAAGTGAGCAAAGTCAGTTTGTCAAAATTGCCAATCTCCTTCACTGCCTTAGGAAGTTACCGAGTGCTCTGGACTCTCAGGCAAGGATGTCTTCACAGTCACGCAGTGCTGGGAGAAAACCCAAAGTAACCAGTAGAATATACAGATGTATTTCACAAACAGTGAGGACAGTGGGGAGTGCTCTCCCAGCATGAAGCAGGTCCCGGGCTCGTTCTGGGGTAAGGGAAGGAGGCTCCTTGATAAGGTGGATGAAATCCGGCGACTGGTCACCTCATTGTCCTGGGAGGCCAAAGCTCTGGGGCCTTCCCAGTTGCCATATAAGGCTTAATAGTTAATAGGTAAGTTGCCAAATTTCCTGTCAATTCCTTGGATACCTTGTCTGTGCAATTTGTACTGCTCCTGTGCAAACACCCTGCACCCCAGCTTGGAGCCAGATCAACTTACCTGAGTATGCACTGCTTTCCAGTGGTGGCTGTGCCGCTGACCTTTCTGCTTAGAATTTTCTTCACACTGTTGTCTAACCAAAAGGCATAGCCTTTCTAAGAGTGAGTTCCAATATCTGTCCTTTAAAAGTTGAGGTGTAATTCCTGTCTTAGTTAGGGCTTCTACTGCTGTGATAAAGCACCATGATGAAAAGCAGATTAGGGAGGAGAGGGCTTACAAGTCTCAGGTCCCACTCCATCACTGAGGGGAGCCAGGGCAGGAACCTGGAGTCAAGTTGACAAGAAACTAACCTAAACAAATGCCAGAGCACAGTTAAACTGTCTAAGTTAATACAGTTTAGTACACAGACAAGGCCACATGGCCACCAGGACTGTCTCATTTCAAGGTATCATCATCACCCTAGAAAGAAGCCCATACCTGTCAGAGGTCTCACACACACACACACACACACACACACACACACACACACACACACCTACCTCAGGGGCCATCCCATCTCTGGCAGCCATTAGTCTACTTTCTATCTGTATAGATTCCCCTGTTCTGCTGGGCTTCCTTCACTTCACAGCATTTTCAAGGTTCATTCACAGTATGCCATGTGGCAGTACTGCACATTCCTATTTTTTCTGTTTCTGTGAATTTTGTTTGTTTTTGTATTCAGACCGGGTCTTACCTTGAAGTCCTGGCTGGCTTAGAACTCACTCTGCAGACTATGCTGTCCCCAAACTCACAAGAGATCCACCTGTCTCTTCCTCCCAGGTGCAAAGATTAGAGGTGTGTACCTCCACACCTGGACATGTTCCACTTTTAGAACAATGCCAGGGGTTGAAGCCAGGACCTTGCAGATGCCAAGCCTGTGCAACACCAGTAGACTGCCCAGCCATCCTCCAGTCCTTTCCTTTTAACGGCTGAGTGCTACTCCATCGTTTCCTCGCCAGAGTTCTCTCTAGCTTGTGTGGACGGTTAGGTGAACGTCTGTGTGTGGTGCACACCTAGCACGGGAAGTGCTGAATCTGTGGTGACGCCTGGGTGACAGTTCAGGCGTGGTCTGCCACACCTGCCACCTGACGTCCCCACCAGACAGTGTGAGCATGTAATCTTTCCACACTACACCAACACTCTGCATTTGCTAAAAGTGTGGCCATCCTTGCGGGTGTGAGGAAGTATCTCCTTGTGACCTCCCTGTGTTTCCCTGGTGACTGAGATAGAGTGGCAGTAGGCATCTTTTGGGTGCTTGTTGGTAATCTGAGTGTCCTTCTTGAAAGAAATGTTGGCTGAATCCTTGCCATTCACCGTAAACCTGTCTTTTCTTTCTGTTGTTGAGTTGTAAAAGGTCATCTTCTCTTTATTTTTTTGGTGTTTTGCTTTCTTTTGTTTTTAGACAAAGTCTGGCTGTGTAGCTCAGGCTGGTCTCAACCTCTCTGTCCCGCTGTCGCAGTCTCCCAAGTGGTGAACGCGCCTGCAGCACCTCTGTGTTGTACTCTCTGCCATGTTGTGGGTTGACTTCATTTCCTGCACGATGTCTTGTCAAGTTGCTGAAGTCTAACTTGTCATCTTTGTGCTCAGTGTCATGGCAAGGCTAGATCGCCTGGTGCCAGATCGAGTGCTAGGTGGTTTCCAGAAAGTCGAGGCTTTAATCCAGCTAGGGATAATTGTGTAAATGGTGTGAGGTGTGGGCCACTTCATCCTGCATGTACACATGCAGCTTCCCAGCTTGTGGGATGGGCGGGGATGGTGGCACTATGGTTAAAAGCGCTTACTGCTCTTGCCGAGGACCTGGCTTCAGTGTGTAGCACCCTACTGGGGCCTCACGACCACCTGAAACTCTAGTTCCTGGACACCAGGCACACATATAGTACACATACATACATGTAAGCAGAACACACATACACATAAAATAAGTGCATCTTTAAAAAAAAAAAAAAACAAGTGAGAAGAGAAAGATGAGGGTGAGGAAAGGGGAGTAGGGACAGGGTGTATGGAGCAGAGAAGAGAAAGCAGTTGAGCTCAGATCCTGGGTTTTCTCAGACTCAGCTAAGCCTGTCTTGTGCCATTGCTGCCCAGTTTGGGTTCTGGACATGCTGCAGCAATCCTGGCAGACAGTTGCTGCAGGTCCTCCAGCTTTGTTCTTTCTTGACATTGCTTTAGTTATTCTGAGTCCCTTACCATGTCATGGTTTCTTATCTCAGCCAGAGTACTTGCTCTTCTCCCTCAAGATATTCCAGTGCCTACACTACATC